CTTTAAACGGATGAAGTTACAAACAGCAGACATATATATAAAAAATATATTTATATATAAATATTTATATGTTTTATATATATTAGACTATATACTTATATAAAATATATATTTCAGACTCATCAGTTCAACTTTAAACGGATGAAGTTACAAACAGCAGACATATATATAAAAAATATATTTATATATAAATATTTATATATTTTATATATATTAGCCTATATACTTATATAAAATATATATTTCAGACTCATCAGTTCAACTTTAAACGGATTAAGTTACAAACAGCAGCAATAGATACAAAAATATAAATTTATATATAAATATTAGTTATATATTTTATATATATTAGCCTATATACTTATATAAAATATATATTTCAGACTCATCAGTTTAACCTTAAACTGATGACGTTACAAACAGCAGAAAGATATAAAAACATATATATTAATAAATATATAAACGTTTATATTATATAGATATCAATTAGATTATATACTTATAAACATATATAAATACATATTTCAGACGCATCAGTTCAACCTTAAACTGATGAAGTTACAAACAGCAGAAAAAGATATAAAATGCATATTTATAAATATATGTAAATATTAATTATATATTATATAGATATTGACTAGACTATATACATATATAAAAATATATAAAATATATATTTCAGACTCATCAGTTCAACCTTAAATTGATGAAGTTGTGAACAGTAGAAATATATAAAAATATATACTTACAAATATATATAACTATTATTTATATATTATATAGATATAAATTAGACTATATACTTATATAAAATATATATTTCGGACTCATCAGTTTAACTTTAAACTAATAAAGTTACAAACAGCAGAAATATACAAATATGCATATTTATAAATATATATACATATTTACATTATATAGATATTGATTAGACTATATACTTATAAATATATATATATAAAATATATATTTCAGACTCAGCTCAGCCTTAAACTGATGAAGTTACAAACAGCAGAAAGATATAAATATATATATTTATAAATTTATGTATAAATATTAATTATATATTACATATATATTGATTAGACTATATACTTATAAGGAGAAATATGTAAAAATATGTATTTCAGACTCACCAGTTCAACCTCAAACTGATGAAGTTACAAACAGCAGAAGTATATAAAAATATATCTATTTATAAATATATATATAAATAATAATTATATATATTAATTAGACTATATACTTATAAACATATAAAAATATATTAATATATATATTTCAGACTCATTTTTCAAGTAAAGATAGTGAGGGGAAAAAATTGCTTGCATTAGTGCAGAAGTTTTTTTCTAATGAAGTTAGAGGTGCGTGATAGCCCTTGCAACTGAAAATAAAAAGGCACAGTCCTCTTCATCCTGAAATCCAAACCAGTTAACCATATATTTGGTGTATGCACGAATGTGTGCTTCTGTTTTACCTGTTGTTTATGACTGAGCTGTCGGAGTAAAAAGCAGGTACTATGTACACATATATATACATTATGTATAATACTTGAGTAAGGAATCAGTGAGCAAAATATAAAACACGGGGACAAAATTAAACCACTATTTTATCGAGGCACATAAAATACAGTTCACAGGACCGAAGCACAGTAACACCAACACAATACCCAGAGCTGCCGACAGTCTTAATGAAAAGTACTTTACTTTTTTTTTCGGGAAAAGTTGCATCCAGCTCCTCGGGGCTGAGGGACGACAGGGCCACCATCACGCGGTGGGTGGACGAGGAGAGCAGCTCCACCACCGAGCTCCGGCGCCTCTGGCTCATGCGGAGGAGGGGGTCGGAGGAGGAATGCCTCCGACCCTGGAAAAAATGGCTAAAGATGCTGACGGCCGAGCGCCGCCGCGGCGAGCCCTGCATGGCTGCCCGGCCCCGCGGGCACCCCGAGGGCACGGCGAGTCGCTCAGCGCTGGAGTTGCGGGAGCCGAGCACCCCCGTGCCGAGCATCCCTGCGCCGAGCACCCCTGTGCCGAGCATCCCTGGGCGCGCCGGTCCTCACGGGCTGAGCGGTCGCCATGGCAACTGAGGATGCAGCCGCGGGGCTGCTCTCCTCGACAGGGAGTGCAGGGATTGCGTCTGCTCGGGACAAACTGTTCCGCTGCTCGCTCGGTGAAAATAGTTGCATTTCAAGTAGGTAATTTTCAAAACGCGCTGGGAACAACCAAAACGTTTTCCATGAACAATGGGAGTATTTAGTTCCTTCTAAATAACAGGCATTCAGAACTTGCTAAGACACAAAATACTTCATTCAAAAGAACAATCCAAATGTAGCTGGAGGCTCTGCCTCCTGAGAGATCTGTAGGGAAGTACATTATACTCCCCCACCTCTTGGTTTAACATTCCACAGGCACCTCTCCTCCTCCACTTTGCTGCTCCAAAATGCATCATTAGCTGTGTAATGACTGGGATTAGTGTGTTCCTACTGAAATGGTTCAGCACTTGATGAATTGTGTGGACTGTTGATCTGGACCATTCATATCTGCTAACAAAACACAAGTTGTTATTCAAAACAAAAGGCTGATTTTTTTTTTTCTGGCCGCAGCTTCTTTATTATTAGCCCTGTAGCCTGAGAGAAAGCAGATTATGTGGAGGAGAAGGTGTGTCACTCGAGTGCTTCAGGCTTTGGAAGGTAGCTAAGCGGTGGCAAATTGCCTCCCACTTTGCTTCCAGTGTGCTAAGGAGGAGAATGAGGTGGCCAGAAAGATTGCAACACCCTGTAAAACAAAAACTGTGTGGAGAACAGACTACAGTCATGCTGAAGAGCCTCTGTCACCCCAATGGCTGTGCATTAGGCTGCACTGAAAGAGGAAGGCGGGGGGATCAAGAAAACCCACCTCAACTTTGTTCAATAAGCAAATTAACCCCGTTGCATTCTCCTTGGCATCTTCAGTCTGTGTTCCTTTTTGTGCTAAAAAGTCAGTAACTCGTACAGAGGAATTTGCACAAGAGACAGTTCCCTTCTGAGACAAATTCACCAGGCAAAAATCTGTTTCTTCTGGGTACTGGCCAGGAATTGAGGGCCTGACTTTTGAATGCTGCACCCCAGCTCTTCCCAAGACACGACAAGGTTTGCTGGGGGTGCCAGGCCTGGAAGGTCAGCAGTGATGTCATATGAGAAAAGGAAAATGTTAAAGCTGACTCTGAGCTGTCTCAAAGCTCTGACTCTTTTAATTCATTAATAAAGCTGGTATCAACAGGTGAGGAAAGATTAATTTTAGGGGGTGGGTAGAAGTGAAAGGAGATGAAAAAGGCTATTTCAAGTGCTACCTGTATCTAAGAAATGTGAAAAATGTTTTCCAATTAATTATATTCCTTTCTTATATTTAATTCTTTTCCTCTTTCTCTTCCCGGAAACTTATCTTTGGTATGTATCAAATGATAGTGAAGAAAGAAGTGAACAAAATAAAATGCTGCACATCATTGGTTTCCTAGTGAATCTTTCGGGATTTGCAAACACTCACCCAAAATGGTAAGAAAGAACTGGATCCTGTAAGAGTTTAAATACTTTATTAGAAACAGGAGTTTTGTTGAAGGCACATTTGTATTTTCAGAGAGCTAGGCAGCTTCTCAACACAAAAATCACACATTAAGAGACCTGACAAAATGAAAAGTACAGAAAAGATAAACACATTATCCCCACGATGTGTTGGCGAAATAATGCAGTTTGGTTTTGTTACAGACATTTTCATTCTATAAACATGGATAATATTTCTGGTTGTTCTTCTTAAATTTTCTATGGATTTTCATTTCGTTCAGGATTGCTCTATGCATTTTTTTTATGAATGGCACATCAGAGAAAAATTCTTACCTGAGCTCATATTTGCAAGGTACACACTGCTCTCGATCAGCGAAGAGTATGGGAGTTCATTTTGCAGCAAAACTCCTGCAGCCATTGCAGTACCTGTTGAAACAGTAAAATAGTCACTGAAAATCTACAACAGAAGCTCAAAAAATTCAAAATAAAGCCTAGAACCTGGCACCTGGTTAGAAAGTTGTCCAAGGTTTAAGCTTTGGGCAATCAGGCAGACAATCTACAAGCCTTCTCTGCTCTCTTCCCTCCACTCTTAGTGTTTGAAATCACATCTATGAGGATTCTCCTCTAACGAGAAAACTGAACACAAGAGTCTCTCTAAGCAGAAAACAGATTTTTTTTCTCATACTTTAACATTATTTCTAGTACAAGGTGTGTTCTGCTCTGAAGACCTTCTGACAGAAAGAAAGCTGAAGGAAAGCTGTAAATCTGAACACTTTAATCAGTCACTGTGATGTTTAAATAAACCCTTGAGTAGAAGTTCTTACCCAGCATAAGATTTCCATTCTGTTTCTCTTATCTCTCTAGGGAAATAGCTGCAAGTATAACCAAAAAAAGTGCATGTTTTTATATCAAACTAAACATATCTGCTGTATCATTAACTGTAGAAACTTTACTAACTAGACAGACTTTATGTCCCATATCCTGCAAAGCCAGTATTAGGATTCAGCAGCATAAATAGAGTTTTAAGAGATAGATTTGCTAAAAAAAAAAAAAAATTAAAGAGCATTGTGTGGATAAGGTGATACAACAGTCCTGTGCTGTGGTGGTGCTGTTTGCTGTTCATTGTCCAGCTTTTCTCTCTAATTCTGCATGATTGTTTTTATAGTAAATATTTAAATAGAACTTCATTCATTCAGATATTACATTATCTACCACATAGCTTGAATAAATTATTCTTCCAACAATGCTAATGGACTTTATCCCCAAAGTCCCTCAGTGCAGCCCTGTCCTTTTCAAGATGCTTAACGGGGGAACAGAAGCCAGATACACATTAGGAACCCTTTCCTATTGCTCTGTCAGTCCTCTCAGGGGGATGGGAATTACATCTGTCTGTGAAAGCCAAAAACCCTTCAGAGATGTCAGTGATGCTCAGAAATGCATTTCCAACGTCAGTACATTAATAAGAATATGAATTGAGAAGAATCTTAATAAAGATTAAAGAGTATCTGGAGCATTTTGCTACTCAGCTACTCGACCATCTGACTCCACACCCTGAAAAGTCAATCCTACAATAAATAGGTAGGAGTACTTGTATATAATTGCATTCTGTCTGGAGAAGCTCCAAAACCTCTATTATTTTTTTTTCCAGTGGACTTTGAAATCGGTAAGGGATGGCTTTTATTATCAGAGGAAACTTCATACCAAAAGAAATAATTTTATTTTATCCCCAGAATTTCTTTTTAGAGTTAATAGAGTTGAATTAATAGAAATTGTTGGTTCCTATTTCTCAGAAAATTCTCTTAAAAATTTGTAATAGTTTGTCCAGATAACATTTGAAAAAGACATGTCTCCTCCTATGGGCAGCAGAATCACCACCACTATGACTAGTTTTCCTATTTCCTTGTACTCAAGTGCTAGAAAAAAAAATGAGATTAAATATCAGTGATATTTCTATCATGTAAGACTATTATCCCTTTTTTTTTTAACCAGGATTCAGGCTGACAAGGACTCTTAACTGAAAAGGGAAGAGATGGAGGTTAATGCAGAAGAGAATATACCTACAGTATTAGAAAATACTAGCATGATTCTTCTAAATGGCAGGGGTAAACTTTGTTTATTTGTTGTATAACCAATTTTATTTCAGCAATACACCAAATCCATAATTCCTGAGCTGGAATTAAATATTTTATCTTTGTATTATTAAATATTAATATTTTAATTAATAATTAGTAATAATTTTAATTAATTATTAATAGTTTGTCTGCACGCCTTTCAGTTTGCTAAACTTCACTGACAGGTGTTTTAAATTGCTCAGTGTGATCAATGTGAGCAACTCCCTTATATTTACTTCTGGGGGGGAAAAAAAAAAGGTAAGATTATGACAAAGGCTTTACAGAGTTATAATGCACCCCCTGAAACAGCTGTAACGTGGTGATCTGGGACAGGGGTATTACATTCCTGCACAGAGAAAAAGGGTGTTAGAAGTAAAAGCAGCGTTCAAGTAAAAGCAACAGCTCCTCTCCTGCTTCATCTCAGTGCTGGATATTCTTAGTTTTTAGAAGATGTTCTGCAGCATTTTGCTCACCCCACAAACACTGGATTTTGCTCCTTCCATAAACACTTGGCAGAAGCTGGAGGCGCAGTCCCGGAGTTATTCCAGGTCACGGTCCTCATCAGGTGCCTGAGGGCTGAGAGTCACGTACCTTGGGCAACCACCCTATCGCCTTAATCAGCTCTGCTCCCTTATCTCTGACATGCATTTCATTGCCATGACAGCAAAGAGGCTGCTCCTTAATCCCTGTTTCCCACTGAAGACACGCTGTCTCCAGACACTGAGTTCCACCTCTGTGTTTCAGCAGAGGGAGCAGAGTCACCAACCGCGTGTAAACACACGGCAAGGACAGCAAACACAGCGATGGGGGGGTCCCACTGCCCTGGGGAGCCTGGGCAGTGCCCAACCACCCGCTGGGGGAAGAACCTTCTCCTGAGATCCACCCTGAGCCTGCCCTGACCCAGCTCCAGGCCACTCCTTGGGGTCCTGTCACTGGTCAGCACAGAGAAGAGACTGGAACCATCTCCTGGAATCGTGATGCCAAGCACTAAGGGGGGATTTCAGGAGGTCCCCTCCAGGTGTGGATTCGATACTTGCTTTGATGTCTCTATGCCATTTTGAGGTTGGGGGTTTTATTTCCACTTTTGAGAAGACCAATTTCTAACAGAAAGGATTTTTTGTTTGCTGTTGCACTCGATTCACTTGTTGCATTTGATCACATGAAATCAAGTCCTACTCGCTGCTTCAAACGTGCAGAGGTGCCTTTCTTGCAGGGGAAACAATGTAGGCACGTTGTGCTGTAGGAAAGATCACTCTGTGCTTCCACTTTCTTCACCTCAATCCCCAACTCTGAACAGACGTCTCCAGTCTGTGATTTCTTTCCTATGGGTAATTGATTTAATCAAATGTAGTCACTTAAATTTGCAAAATAACCCCACAAACCAAAATAAACAAACCCCACACACACAACCAAAAATGAACTTGCAGTGACCAGAGAATATTTTGCATCAAGATCAAAACACTGGCTCGAGCCAAGCTGAATCAAACTGAGAATACCAGTAAATGGTTTTGAACCAGTTTAGCTAACTCTTTAAAGTCATACCTTCAGTTAAAATGAGGCAATTCTGAGTTCAGACAAGGCCCCAGGTGGTATAATTACATTACAACTTACAACCAAGATCTCCAAAGTTTTGCTATAAACTAGACATAACATTCCTCATATTTCTGAACACTCAAGCCAGAAGATGACACATTCACCTTTCATGTTTTTCATGCATAGGGAAAGAAAGAAAAAAACTATGGGGTGACCTGTGCAGGGCTGAGGGTTGGGCTTGAGGATCCTGGTGGGTCCCTTCCAACTCAGCATATTCTATGATTCTATTACCAGGGGAGTGAAGCAGCCTCTTGTCCACATCCATTTCCTCTGGAATAAAAGCACTTTACAAGATCACAGTAAAGTGCCATGGAGGCAGTAGGACAACGGGAGATCAGGGATCCCCACGGGAGCAGCTCCTGGGCCACAGGAGCAGGATGGACTTAGCAAAGCAACCCTGGGGTTTGCAAACTACCCACTCTGGTCACAAAAAAGATTCCTTTTTAGTATTTCAGGATCTGGAAATCAGTGGATTCCAGTCCCTGGACTGAATTTTTGCCCCAGAATGAAACAAGGGAAAGGAGCAATGTCTAATATTTTAGCAGCCAAAAAGGGAGGAGACAAGAAGATGCTGGCCTCACTCTACCTCTGCAATTAAGATGGTTATTTAAGAGATGCAATTACCATCTTTTGCTTCAGAACTCGTTTTCAAAACAGAGAGAAGAGATTGCATTCCCAGCTGGAAGGATTCCAGTTAGGGCAGCTCAGCTGCCAGCACGGACAGTAATCCCATTGTAAAGCTCCCCACTGCAGTCCCTGTGGAACTATCCAGTACAAGTGGGGTCCCAGATCTCTAGATTCATGTGGCTCTGGCAAACAAGAACCCCACAGCAGAGCACACATCTCATACGATTACTTTTATGTATTAACATGAAAAAATCATGCATAAGCTTTCAGTTTTACAATATCAGTGTAAGGGAAAAGCTGTTTTAAACCTCAAATATATCACACAATACAGGAAATGCTGCTGGGTAGGCCCATCACATGAAATTTTTAGGTTATTTTTTACTGTTTTCTTGTCTTCTAAAGGGAATTTGCTCTCTCCCTGTTGCAGTCACATGTAAGTAACTACATAGTATGCAAATTTCTAAAGGAATATAGTCAACTACAGACCAAGTAGGGGCTCTTTTACTCCCTAAGCACCTCTAAAATTTCCTCCGTGGCCTAATTCTACAAGTACTTGAGAAACTTTGCTTTTGTGAGCAGTCCCACAGAAGTCAACAGAATGTCTAAATATAATATATATCACATGAGATAAAGTTTCATTGCCAAAATGCAAAATCCTGTAAACTGCACTAATTGAGATGTTTTAGACAACTAAAGAGAACTTGGATGATTAAGACTAAGCAAAAACAGGATAGTGTAAGGAGGACTGGTTATATTTAATGAAGTGGTTAAGAGCTACTGAATTATAACTTTGTCTCTAAATTCAGGCTTAAGATTGGCAGATGATGAGAGTTTTTGACAGAAAAATCTTCTAAATTGACCGAGACAAAGTTAGTCACTTGTACAGGAAGTGCTGGTAAATGAAATTGTGTTTTAAATTACAGCAGACTATCTAATGTTAACATTGCCAGGAATAACAAAGCATTTATTTCTAAAGTTTTGTAAAAAATGTAGATAACTGGGGGGCTGTTAAATTTTATTATTATTATTATTATTATTAAACAGGATGCAAAGGTTGTTATTCTAATGTCTATATCAGTGAAAAAGCCCACTGAT